ATATGCACAATTTCACAGAGGGTAAGCATTCGAATAATAATTTTTCACGCTACTGTTTTCAACCAGAACAATCATCGAATTACCTTTTTTCTACAAATAAGAATATACCATTTGTAATAACTGATAAAAAAAACAGTACCTAAGTCGACAATAGACGTTCTACAAGGTACAAATTTGCTACCTCTCCACAGCGTACACCACAACAGGAAGGCAGCAGTACTTCATTTATAAACATTTCCAAAAATAATGAGCTTCTGAGCTATCAAGGCTTCTATTTTTTTGCTTTCAAAACGTTTGCGTTTAGGCTTCCTTCATCCTAAAGTTTTAATCCACAAGTGTTAAGTTCTAGTTTGCTTTATATTACACACCTCAACACTGAGAAGCATTTCTCATACATATAGATGCTGCAAGACTACCTTCTGTTAGACTAATCATCAGTACTAATCTTCATCCTCGCACCTGCGATTTAAAATTATGATGTATAGTCCTGTTTCTGAAGCTTCACTTTTTTTCCACAATCTGGGTGTATGGTGATTATGTCCAGCTTCATCCAGACCAAAAATTATCATACAACCCTATACATTGTCTGGTCTGCATGTTATCATGAGGAAATAAACGGTACGAAAAGTACAAAAGTTTTTCATAAGGCAGTTTTAAATTTATTGGCTGAATTAGAAGAAAATATTAATTCAGTAGGTTTCTAATATTCGACCAACATAAGATGAATGTTCAGCTACAGAAGCTCACTTGCATACATATGCAAGTGACATATGCTAATATGATCATAATCGATTTACTTATAATCTCACGTTAGATAATAGTTTACGAAATCATTGAACAGTTATGTGTTTTAATTATGAACAATTTCGACTTCTCCCGAAGCAGTAGTAAGAGATTTTTCTATTTCTCTCTCTTCATATATTCGACAAGTAGCTGATAACTGGTGTTTACTAATCTGATCTTTTCAATCAAAATTGTGCACTTCAGCCACAGTAAATTACAAACTTAATCTCATGAAGCTTTATTTAAAAATAATCATGACGCATGAATATTCAATGAATAATGTGCCAAAACGATTTTTCATGCCTTTGTGCAGTTACGTGTCTCATTGATATTCATATTCAG